TTATGAACACGGGAAGTCTCTTATCAAGAACGGAAATTATATATTTTGACATAAAAACTTTATCCGTGATTTAACAGCCAAGAACCTAGGTGACCCAAATCCTTGGCCATACTTTATTTATGTGACTTTTGAGGATCGTAAAACTGCAGCAATCATTTAGAGTAGTGGTTATTTTCCCAAAAGTACTTTGTTGTTAAAATCATCATCCCTTTCATGATTAAATGAAACACAATCGGTTCATGTGATACAGTCAAACCTAAAAACACTCATATACTTTTATAAAAAGGTAATTTGATCTTTAAAGTAATATATAAAAAAGAAAATTATATAAAATATTTGTGAAATTCAAACACTCGTTGATAAATTCAACCGAATTGCTAATTATTAGAATCAATAAATGCATGAACTTATGAATACATTCAATCACTTTAAACATTTATTATAAGTGAAACCATAATAATATATTCAAACTGGCTATGCAACTATTGAAAATATAAATCATTAATGAGCGTTTGCAGGCAAAAGACTACTACTGGGGACCGTCTAAGTTTGGGCTCGGTGCTTCCATTTTAACCAATTATGTCATCCTGTTGATGTCCAATGTTTTAATAGCTATACAACTGTATATCATAATTCTGTACTGATTCAACATTTGTTCATTCCAAATTAATAGAAAACAATAAAACACAAATTTATTAATTGAGGCATAAGTTATTTACAATATTTTGTATCATAGTATTTTAATATTAAAAATCCATAAAACATTCAAAACTGATTTTACATTTACGTAATAGTTAATCATAAAAATCGTTAACATTCAAAAGCTGAAACATAAAATGTAAAATGATTTTTTCCCTAATATTATACTGCTAATTTTTTGCCATTTTATTCAATTTAACATATATATCTAAAAAACCACACTTATAATAGCAATTTATTAGTATAAGGAAGACATATAAAGCTCGTATTACCAATTTTTAAGAATATTTAGTATTAGTTGCGATTGCCACTTTAATATTATAGCACTTTCAACAAATTGTATAGTTAATTTGTCTTATGGTAATGTTTTTTTTTTTTTTTGTATTAACGGTTTTATTTTTTTCATAATCAAATTAAACATATCAGTATTGTTTAGGTATGGATTTAACATCACTTAACAGATGCTTACTATTGCTGTATTATTATATTTAATGCGTACTCATATCAAACCACATTTCGAAAGGAATTGTATAAAACAAAGGTCCAAGTGCAATCGTGGAAGATCAGGAGGTGACGCAGCAGGTTTAATTAAAGCAACAATGGCCTTCTGGGAGAACAATATTTAAAGATTAGATCTCTTTCCCCAACCTATGTTCATACATTACTCGTAACAAACGCCCTTTAGGGTTTTATTTCTCTGGAAAGCTGTATTAATCATGTTTAGATTATCATTCTTTGTTAGAACACCGTTCTATGAGGAATGCATATTAAATTGTTGAAAGCACGAATTAGATTTTCTTTGATTAATTAATCATATTGGTTATGTAGAAAATAAAAAAGTTTAAATCATATTTATTTCTCGAGTTCTGTCCATTTTACTTGTTTAACTTTAAGGTGATAACAAAATTACTATTGTTAGTAAGGCACCTTTATGAAATAGTTATTTTTAACGTATGAGCTTTTGATCTAGGTAAAGAGACACGTATTCTGGAATAAAACATCTATATGTAAAACTTTTTGGAACTTTATTTAAATGAGCTTAAGTAAGTATTTTAGCCATTTCAAAAATATAAATGTCTGTCCATAAGTAAATATTATAAATTTTACCGAAGAAGTTTTATACCAAAAGAAGAAGTTTATACCAATTGTGACCTATAAATAAAACTTCTATTTAAGAAAAAAATATCATACATCAATGTTATGTTTTTCTTGTCTGGTAACGTTATTTATGTCAAACATAGCACTTTTTACACATTAGCATATTTACACATACATTTAACTATGAGTTGGTTTTATGGTACCAAAGTTTGGTGGTGTGACAATATTTACTACGTGTGGATGAAATATTTTTGTCGTGACAATTTCAGCTGTAAACTATAAGGCAATAACCCTACGTTATAACCCTACGTCCTGTCTCTGTGTCTGCAAACTCATCCGTTAAGCCACTAAATTATGTTTCGCGACGCACTGTTAAGCCATTAGCCTACTGATACATATAGCTTGCATTGTTTCAATAGGTCTATGCATTTTAAGGACAACGTGGCAGATTGTTTGTTTCAATGAGAAAATAAACATGTTATATCTAAATATGAGATATCATAAATTAATATTTCAGGGAAACACGTTAAACAAAGTTGTATTTACTTGTTTTAATTGTCCTGTACACATTTGACGTATACAGTTTTGATTCTTGCAGTCTAACTGATATAAAGTATAGAAATGCGGTCAAAACTATATCATAAAAATTTTGTGCGTACTATAAAAGATACGTAATTAATTACAGTACGTCGTATTTAAAACTAGATTTAAATAAAAATGACGTAAGGAAGATTTTTCCAATTATGTCTAAGGTTACGTTTATATTTTAACTGTCGGTTTAACATATGCAAATAATATATTGACTGCACAGGAGGTATAGTATTCTTTGTTCTGGACGTAAGGAAACTTTTCAACACAGTTATGCCGTATTATAGTGAAACACATTTACTATGTTTGCAGTAAAGAGTAAAGGTAGATACCCCCACCGCAGCAAAACTGCAGCCTAAGCGAATTTCCATTTACCTGGATAAATTTATCTCTAAAATATTCCCTAAAAATTGTCAGACTTATTCCCTATTTGAAAAACATAAATTTTAGTGAGTACTTAGGCATACAACAACGCTTCAATATACAAAATTATTTCTTTTTTTAGGGGGCCTTTCAAAATATGGTAATAGCTTATTCCCTAAATGGGAAATTCGCTAATACAACAAAAAGCCGTGAATGTAATGAATCGCGTCGTGCATTTACCCAACATTTTATAAAGATTATTGAACGAAATGAGCTTTTACCCAATAAATACGAGAGTAACCTGCGGGTATTTGATGAGTATAACTCAAGAAAAGCGTATAGGTACTCTGGAAAACGTTCTCGGCAAAATATATCCTCATATCAGTTTGGGATTTATTGCTCCGAGCACGAGCTATTGTGAAATCCAGATTCGATTAGGAAATGTAGTAGCTACAGGCTACTAAAGGCTCTTTGTCAAACACGTCCAATTGTTTTGAAAAAGATACAGTCCGTTTAAACTACGCTTATTATAAATTGTAATCGTTTAATAAATAGTAATTCAGACAACTCTATATTTCTTAGAGATTTACAGTTGGAAAAGTAATAACAAATTTTAGTAGTGATCAGGTAAAGTAGTATGAGGAATACATACTTTTTACTGTACAAGTTTCAAAATTAAACATTAGGCTGTCCAAAATCCTCTTGGTATAAATTACAAATCAATAGAGATCCGTCATTCGAGCCTCATTTCATATGCATTGCTGCTCTAACTTCATCGTCACAACTTAGATTGGACAATCCAAACCTATTCAGCATACAGATCAACTTGATCTACTTGCTTTGATCGTCAATAGGCAACCACGAAGAGCAGCAAAATTATTGATGCCTTGATGAAAATCTTAAATATAAACGATTGTACTTTGAATTTAATTTACACATAACGCAAGACAAGCAAATCAGATTTTCTGTTATTTATGGGTTTTTACGGGAAAATAGCATAGGTTACAATAATTTTTTTACCGTAATTTTTAAACCGGAAACGGGAGTTATACGATTTTGTTTGGAATTTAAAGGGTTATAACATTATAATTTTTACCTACGACAGTTTTTTTTAAAGTAGCCATTTCAGTTCAGTTCTTAGAATTGAAAAGTTTCACTTAACAGCTGTTTACTTTCATATCAGCATAGTTTCATTTCATATCAGCATAGTTTTTCTCATATCAACACGGGTAACGGAACAATGAGGTTCAAGGATTGAGAGAAAAGAAGTACAATTGTAATGCTTCGAACGTCAACTAATCAGCTGATCAGCTGATCAGTTGACAATTTTAATTGTTGATCCGGCTCGTTCCTGTTGATACTCGCGTATTCTTAACCTAAGTTGGTGGAAGTTAAATGAAGGTTGATTTTAAAATATCAGTTAGTGAAAGTGATGTTGCACAAACTGTTTGTGCTAATCTTTTGCCACCAAAATCAAAACAAAGGCACCATATGCAATTACATACCAGCAATTCATTAAATGGACGAAACTAAATCAGGTTAAATTGATAAATGAAAATGTTCCTCTGGTTTATTTTGAAAACCTCTTAACCACTTTTTCACCTAACTCGTTGTGGACCATATATTCGATGCTTAGATCTAACTGTAAATTAACTGTTTCACTATATTATTCAGTTGTCCAAAAATATATGCAATATTTCCCTAATTGTACCTGATACAGTATTTATGGTAAGAATGCTGCTAGCAGAACCTATTGCCTGAAAAAGTAACGTATTATTTAACAAAGTTTTACAAACACGTAATTACATGAAATCAGCTGATTAAACAATAAGTCGTTGCATCACTTTCAGTGACAATGACAATAAACGAAAACATAACCTCTCTAGGAAGTTATGAGTAGTGATTGTTAGTAATAAAAACCAGATTTTAGTAATTAAAAAACGGTCGTAGGTAAAGTAGTGTACGCAACTCGCGTTAATAGTCTTTACGACACTCGTAGAAGTTTTTAAGGCACTCGCGAAGGCTCGGGCCTTAAATTTTCTACTCGTGTCGTAAAGACTAACTTGACGCAATCGTCGCGTAAACTACTATTATCAATATTATTTGGGCCATTTTCGGACCATAATAATTCTGTAAATTTTAGGGGATCATTTGAGTGAAATTTCAATTAGGTAAAATGTTTATTCACATAGTCTGCAGGTTTCACGTGGTGAGGGTATTTTATTTTATAATCTTCAAAATTGTTTACTTACCTGGATTAACAGCACCGCATTGTATAAACAGTATCAACACCACCAGAATCACGACACCAGATTTCTGCAACCAAAAATATGCCTTATTATTGATTAGAAATATTATTTAAAACAACTTAATTATGTTACAGCAATTACTTTAGCACTCTTCTGGCAATGTACATGTTAAAAGTAATATTAAATGTACATGTAAATACTACTTAAGGTTAAATCGGTCCCGTGAATAGGATAATCACTACGTACATACAGCTACGCAGCTAGTACCTCTGTGTTAAATGAAGATTCCCAGGTAACTGTACGTCGTGATCTAAGAGGCATATCGCTGGAAACTATTTAGTGAAAAGTTTTAAGTCTAAGGGTCATATACTGAGATGTAAACTTGAAATTTAAATAAAAAAGTTATTTTCAAACACTTTTGGGGTAGAAAACTGTTTAATACTGAAAGAATATTTATTCATGATTCAATAAATCGAGAAAGGTATATTTTATTCCAAGTGATCAAATGTAATTAAAAATCGTGAGATAAACATGTCTTGATTTCGTGGAAAAATATGACAACACAAATTCAAGGGGTTGCTAGCCAAGTGCTTAGCGTTTTGGACTTCAAGAGGGACAGGTATGCATTTGAAGCACTACCAAAAAAATCATATAGGTTTGGACCACGTTCTTAAAAACATTTTTTTAGATTATACATTGAACAATTCCACAAGCGTTGACATATAAAGGTACTTAAAACTAATATTAAAACAATATTTTGTCTTCCACATTCTTATGGATGTCTATGACGTTGGTATTTAAAAAGAAAAAAAGCCTCACAAATGCTATTTAGGTACATCAGTCCAAACCACTGAATTATATTTTTATATTTATACATATGCTGGAAATATAGCCTGTCTCTCTCGCACCATAATGAAGGATGTTCACAAACAAGCAAATAATAATAATGTCATCTAAATGATATTTGCCATTATTCACTTTCAAACATACTCGTAAAAAATTATCATTTTGCTGTAATGTGCTATAAATAATAATGACCGTTGTTTGATATAATGGAAAGACGAATTAAGAAAGTTTTCATTCAGAGGATTGATCTAAAGTGGTAAGAAAAGTGCTTTAATTAAAACTATTTAATGATGTTTCATTAGCAGATTTCATCCGGAGATAAAAAGTGTATTGTATAAATTAATCACTGAAAGAATGGCAATACGATTTTTTGTTTTTGTTTCATTTTGTAGTAATAGTTTCACACTTTTCACTTTAAAATACTTACTAGAACTAGAACTAGTATTAAAAATTACAAGTAATTTTATATTGAATTTTTGTGATAATTATAATTTTTTTTATGTAGTTATTTCATCGTGGATATTATTCTGAAAACTTTGTAATGATTTCAGTTATGTGTTACATAGAATATTTAAATTGTGTTTATTATATTATGCAAAGTGTACATGAAACTTAAGAAGCGTCTGTTTTAAGAGTTTGTATGTATTTTCAGATTGAATTTGAGTCAAAAAATACAATATGTATTGTGTGTAATCCCACTACATATTTTTTCAATAGATCCTTTCAGGTGACTTATGTCCGCATGATATTTTATGTGCTTTATGGAAAACACAAGTTAAGCACGAGGTTAAGTGTTGCTTATAAACACTGTTTGTAAACAGCACTGTAACCCCCAACAACACTGTAATAACCCATGTATAGTCAACAATCTACTTAAAAGATTCTCACTACATGACGTATAGTATGTAAGAAATGTTTTTAAATACAAACAACTATATGATGGTTAAAGATGTACATGAGCTTACGATTGAATAAAAAAAATATTCAAAAGCTTCTATTGTTGTTGTATGACAACAATTAAATCAACAATAATTGGAAGGAATTATTTCAAATCAAATGTGCATATTCAAATAAATATGAAGTTAATTCAGAGCAATATTTGAGAGGAAGTGTTACGAACCTAACAAACTCCCGGTGAGGTTGGCAACATTGGACGATGAATTATTAAAATTCATTTGCACCGTTCTATCTTGTTCCTGTACTTTCTGTCTGCAAAATTACGTTGAATAAAAACGTAATGCGTGCGTTGGAATGAACACCGTTTACATTTTCATTTCGTTTGAACTCGAAAAGCATGAATAAAATGTTAGAAAACCGTCAAAGCGTGCACATAGTAAATGATTATTTAATTCATGCCTTGGCAAGTCGTATCTCTTACACTTATTAAACATACTAAGTGTGTTAATTCCTACAATTCTTTTATTATATTCATCATCATCATCATCATCATTTATTGATTTCCCTCAAGGGGTACATAAAAAAATACATTTACAAAAATTCAATTACATGCAAAATAACCAAGGTTGGTAAATAAGTTTTACTAATAACTAGGCAAATAAATAATCATATAAATATTAACATGCAATAAATAATTCAATAAATAACCAATAAATATCTTATAAATAAATACTGTATAAACATAAAATACCAGTAGAAGAACAATAAATATTTAAACTGATAGCTGAGCCAACATTAAAAATTAATTATATTCAAAAAACATTAAAAGAAAGAGATCCGCATTGAATCTTTAAACCATACATTTAATGGGGATTTGAGTCAAGAGTGGGGGAGGGCAGCTATATGTTGCCTGCGGACCTTATTTTCCATTCATTTTCTAATATATCAAAAAATATTTTCAAATGATCCGCAAACTCACACAATGTCGACATATTATTTTCCATAAACATACTGTCCATTCCAGATTTGCCCATTCCATTGTACCTACATTCAATAAATGCATGCCATCCATTCTCTATTTCCCCACACAGTACGCATATTCTATTTCCTGTCTCATCTTTCCTGCACATCCACAGCCAGGTTCCTAATCTATATCTCGCTATCAGTGACCTCTGATTTGGTTTAAGTAAACAAACATACTTTGCTCCTAACCTTGGCACTCCAATCATCCTTATAACTTCTAAACTTTTCTTTGTCATCGCCTCAGTCCACAAATAAAAGTAACATGCATTCTTTAAAACATCTTTAATTTATTTAATATTTTTTAAGCTAAGAGTATCACTTTGCCAGATCTCAATTAAATTAATATTTTCTAACAACTGCTTTATTTCGCCTGACCATGAACTGTTGTTTCTATGATTTTCATTAACTTTTAAACAAGCTCTTTGTAATTTCTTATCTAATGATGTCTTTATTCTTACAAAATATATTATCGCTCTTTCTTTAGCTTTAAATGACGTTAATAACCTGCCAGCTTCCAAAATCGCTCCACTATTGGCTGTATTATTACTTACTCCCAATAATCTTTTACAATGTGCTATGCCTACTCTGTTTGATTATTTAATTCATGCCTTGGCAAGTCGTATCTCTTACACTTATTAAACATACTAAGTGTGTTAATTCCTACAATTCTTTTATTATATTATATAGGAGATATCAATAAATCTGACAAATCGAGAAAATCAAAATAAATCTAAAGATTTTTTTTCGTTGGTGAGGTTTACGTGGTTTTTTTCTCAAATTGTTTATCGAGTAAAAATGTAGCATCAATAATGCATTTATACTTCATACCGGGAAGTATAATGTCGTTTCTCTCACAAGTTTAAGAGGCAATTAAAAGTTATATTGAGTTCTGAAAAGCCCACGAGGCCTTCACAAGAATGGTCAACTGGTATATCTAGAAATAATTATACTTTTTTAATTAAGTGTTATTGTCATTTCAAATTACACATGACCTAAAGGTCATACAAAGTGACACAGCAATACTCTGCAAACTAAAATGTTATTAATTCAATAACGATTGCTCTTTTTAAACTAATATGATAATTTTACATCCGATTTCTGTCACAATCTTTTTTCTGGAATCGCTTTGAAAAAATAAAAATATGTTATATGAATTAAAATGATGGTATTAACAATCCTTTATTTTTCAACACGGTTGTCACTATTTTATAACTAACTAATATCATTTATTACCTTAAGTATTCAAAAATCATTCAAACACGATCAATATCTCTTTAAAACACTTGTTTGATACATTATAATACATTTTTCGTTTTAATTTCTTTATGTGTAACTAAAACGGATGCAGTTTATCAAATCAATCACGTAGGTAAAAACAATTTTCAAAACTAATGGGAAAACCGTGTGAACTCAGAGGGTCAACTTGACAGATAAATTGTGCAATTATGTCCGGATAGAGTCACGTATTTCGTTTGCTCCAATTATTTCAATAACTGTTTTTACAAAAGAAGTTGGGAAAACGTTGATTGGATGTTTAATAGAATTGTGCGAGTTTTCAATTTTAATTATGAATTCAGTATTTCACAATTTGTCAACAATTTTGTTTAAAAACTGTAATTATCATGACATGGCTAACTTGGTGTATCAAAAATTATATATAGCTAAAGAAAACTTTGCTCTCAATAAAGTTAATGGTTTATTAATTTATTATTTCAGATACAATTTATACATTGAAAAATATATACTTTAAGGGGGAAGGGAATCTAGTATTTCTATGTTGTATTGATTTATGATGCAGATAACTTTTACACTGTTCATTTAGAATGAATCACATGATTCTGATGGTTATTGTTTGTTTCTCTTCGGCCTTCTCCCCTTCGGCATCTGATTAATTCTATTCTTACACTAGCCTACAGAGACACTGAATATAGTGTGTAAAGCAAAGCACATGCTGCATTTGGCTATTTGATTGTGTCATGTCCCAACAAATTGTTGTTTAATCATGTCATTACTGTGAAATAGATTTTATAAATGTTATATGAAAGGAAACAGTAAATATATGCATAACGATAAGCCAAGAAAAAAATGCAAAATATATTTTAATAGTCAAAATACAAAATGTTTTTAAGAACATTTAATTGTGTATTAGTTTTTAACTGTCCTAACAATACTTGAAAGCTCGAGGTGGTGACCAAATGCATTTGTTGCCTACATTCATAAAGAAATAATATTTAATTTTTATTTATCACCAGATCTTTTCAAAATTAAGTCTTTCTTGTGTTTACTGCAATGTTACATTTG